GGCCCTAAGCCTTATGATAACCCATATTCAGGCCGCAGTACCGAATTAGGAGAGCGATTCGGAACAAGGTGTTACGAAACCATGGCGAAGGGAGAAGGAAACCCATTCTCCATTGGACATAGGAAGGTATAAATAACGAAACAGGGTGATAGACGGCGACACATCTAGGGCAACACACAACAGGGTAAAGCAAAGAGCCTTGCGAAATCCATTGTGGGTTATCTGGGCGATATGCAGACCGTAATAATCCAGAATGGTCACAAGTAAATAAAAAGCAGGGAGGCGTAACCCAGACTTGAATAATACCCGATAAACCCCCAAGAAGCCTTCAGGAGCATCGGTAATGGCATCGTTGGCCTCCGGCAAGCGAGGATGAAACTTGGGATCGATATGGTACTTTCGAACGAGCATACCCATGGTTCAGACGGTCAGATTGGATTTCACCATCCCTATGTGAGATATTCTAGTGTTGGCCATATCTAGAAGAAAGGGAGAAATCAAAAGAAAAGGGCGAGAGAAGAAGAAAACTGACTATAACAAAAAGAACGAATGGTGAAGCGAATGGTTTCACCGAATATTTATAACAAGTCTAGAGCATATGAAGATTAATAGGCAGACAAAGTGGTTGGTGGACACTGTACCCCTATTCAAGTAATGACAGATGAAGAGACGGTTATAGGTATCATCATTAGGACTAACATAACCGTCAACACGTCACGTCAAAATTAATTCAGGAGTTTTGCACCCCTATTCGACCGTAACGACTATAATATCGCTCTTACCAAAGTTTGCATCTCTACTCCATCGAATACGTAGATATACAAACTGGGGGACTTAATGAGGTATGATCAGGAAATACCTATATCCTTTCCTAGATATCCCGAACTGGCATGTTCAAAGATGCCTGAGCCACTAAAACACCAAACTGGCATAACGACTTTTGAGGAAAAGAAGGAACCGAGGAAAGGTACAATATGAAGCCTAAAAAGTAATGGTAGTGTCTCGTAACTATTAGGATATAGCCTGTACGAGGATACATGGTCAAGATATCCTGAACAGCCACAAGACAACTGTTTAACGGTATGTATAGTACCAATGACCGTACCTTCGGGTGTTACACGATAAATGCGGTAAGATGGCCTGTCAGGATCGATCCGGCAGAGCTTTCCACTTCCTATACCCCTATAAATAGATGTATCGACGCCATTGGAAGGTAAGTACACAAAATCTCCTTCCGACTCTCGTGTATACTCGATCGAATATATAGCCTTTCGCTAACTTAACCGTTGGAGAATCGTCTGGGATCACCCCCAGTCGGTTGCTTACGGTTCATTTGTAGTCTTCAGGTCAATCTTATTCACTCGTATCTTCCTAACTCCAATCCTTACCGTCCCTTTATTCTAAAAAATATCCTTATCACACCCTAAATCATTAAATTTGATATATGCTCGTAAGTTTACTCGTGGTAATCTTTATTCTATTGAATTTTATGCTTATGATTTTTTTGTCAAGGATTTTCAAACCAATCAAATACTCCTCTGATGTGAGAGTTATGACGACTTGTCCCTGTAACGTTACCTACCCATCAGCTTTGGTTTTATCTAATTCCACCATTTGGAACCAATGGCTTGGACACCCTGGTCAAGAAGCTTTTAATTAGTTATTCATACAAAATTTAATTCCTTTCAAAAACATTAAAAATTCTACTTTATGTAGGTCTTGTCATTTAGGCAAGCATGTTAGGCTTCCTTTTACATTGTCAAATTTTGATGCTTCTTATGCTTTTGAAATTGTTCATTCAGATGTTTGGACAACTCCGGTTCTTAGCAACTCTAGTTTGAAGTATTATGTCTTGTTTCTTGACCAATTTTCTCATTATCTGTGGGTGTTCCTATTAAACATAAATACGATGTGTTCACAAATTTGTTCAATTTACTTCTCATGTTAGAAATCAATTTCATTGTGATATTATGTAACATCCCGAAATTCAGGTACAACTATTTACCCCTTCTCTTTTGTCAAGTTGTCAAGATTAGCCCTTGAGTGGAAATTGTAGCAAATGAGTACGCTGGGCGTACTCAAGATTACGTTGCGCGTACTCATGCGCTTATTTTGGACGCGGACTCGCCTAGGTACGCTGGGCGTACCTAGGGTTACGCTGGGCGTAGTTGGCCCAGGTGCAAAACCCTAATTGTGGCTTGAGGGCTATAAAAGGAATGAGATGGTCTTGTCCCCAGCCACCATTCCTCAGAGAGAAACCCTAGAAGAGCAACTTTATCGTTCTAAAGTTAGTGTGTGTGTTCTTGAGCAAGAAAGTGCCTTTGTGTGTTAGTAACGAAGAAGAAGAGGTTCTTGTGGAGGCTAGAAGTTGGAGTACAAGCTTGGATCTGAGTTCTACAGAGGGAGGAGCTTCACTTGGAGGTATAAAGCTCAAAGCTTTCCTTGTTATTTTTGGTTTGTGCTTTATGGACCATTTCTAGGGTTAAAGTCCCAAAGGTGGAGACTTTATGAGCATAAAGGACTCCATGGACCTAGATCTGTCCCATTTCAATGATATTTGTGTTATAGATCCATAAAGTTTCCATCTTGGTCGTTGATATGAGGTCATGCTTGAATTATGAGCTTTCTAGAGTTGGGTAATGGAATGTTATGGGTGTTAGTGACTTGTCCAGCCATGCAAAGGCTTAAAGTCACCAACTTTATGGATTAAGAGGCTTAGAAATGGTCAGATCTAAAAGTTGGGCGTGGGTCTTAACTGTTTAAGACCTCAAGAGCTAAGGAGTCTGAAACTGGGAGTTACGTTGGGCGTAATCCCAGTACGCGCGGCGTAGGGGGTCGCGTTCCCCGTTTCTGTGAGGTCGCTAGGTACGCCCAGCGTACAGGCTTGGTACGCGCAGCGTAACCCGGAGAGTTGACTTTTGTTGACTTTTAGGGTTTGGTCAACAATTGGACTTTTGGGACCATTGAGGGGTAAAATGGTCTTTTAACCTTCTGAGAGGACATAGGAAGGGATTAGTCTAGCCTTGAGAGCCGTTAATGATTTGAAATAATTACTTTATGTGATTAGGCGGGGCTAAGTCGTTGTTTCGAGATTCAGGGATAGCGAGCACGTGAGTTACTAGACATCATACGAGGTGAGTCTTCTCACTATACTGTACCTGGAAGGGTACTTATGTGTGACCGAAAGGTCTTGTATGCTATGATGTATGTGCTATATGCGGTTATGTGATATGTATGTGCTATGTATGATTATGTATGATATGGACCGGAAGGTCAAGAGGTTACGTACCGGAAGGTCGATAGGGGTAGGACCGGAAGGTCTACCGGGATTTGGGACGGGAGTCCCCTGAGACACATGGATCGGAAGATCCTACAGAGTTGTGGCCTGGAAAGGCGTATGTGTGGCATGTGGTATTTTGGGGAACTCACTAAGCATTTATGCTTACAGTTGTTATGATATGTGTTTCAGGTACTAGCGAGGACCGTGGGAAGGCGCCGGCATGATTCGTACACACTTATGGAGTTTTATGTTATTGAGATTCTGGGACATGTTTTTGTTATGACACAGTGACACATTATGTTTTGTGATTATCATGTGAATGAAAGTATGATTTAAAAATGAAAAATTGTTTTGAAAATTTACGTTGTTACAAGTTGGTATCAGAGACTTGGTTTGAGGGATTCGGGTGCATCTTCGGATGAATCTGAACTCAAACTGAGGAATTAAGGAAGTTTTTCATAAAATAAACAATTTTTCTAAAAGAGTAAAAGATTTTGAGAAAGGCAGAAGGAAGTAGTGTGTACGATCAGCCAGCGCCCGAACGGTGATTTCCCAAAATACCCTTACATTATGTGTTATGAGACATGTTATGATATGATATGCATGCTAGAGTTGGCTAGGTATTCATATTAGGACTAGAGTGGCCTGATTTTGTGATGCCTTAGCCTAGGAAGGATTTTGCTGCTATGTGATGCTTGAGAGCGAGTAGGTAGCAGTGAGGAGCTGATGAGAGGTCTATCGAAGGATAGCCTATGCCAGTGAGATATAGAGTACTTGTGATTTGGGATCCAAGGAGGAGGACTTAGGGTGAATACTGATGCGGTGTGGACGGTAGTATAGGGCCCGTACTACTGAAGACATCAGAGCAGTGCGCACTCTAAGTAAGAATCCATTGGGTACCAAGGAACAAGTAGGGTTGAGTTATCGAGTGCGAGTATGCTCGATCGAGTCTCTGATATTCTTTATGTTGTATTTCAGAGACATCATGGTTGGGACACGCCACAGACCTGAGTCGAGCGGCGTGAGTGACGAGGAGCTTCGTCAGATGATCCATGATGAGGTGGCGGCGGCGATCAGGGCCGAGATTCCGGAGATGTTTGGGCCTATCAAGACCACACTGATTGAGACTTTCGATGAGCGGTACGCCGCGGTGACTGAGGTTGCTGCTGCTGCAGCTACTACAGCGGTGGTTGCTGCCAGACCTCAGGGAGGTGACTCGTTGTTGCTTCGAGAGTTCAGCAACACGAAGCCACCAGAGTTTGATGGGACGCAGGATCCGATCGTTGCGATGAGATGGATTGCTGATATCGAGGGATGCTTCTACACGTGTTCATGTCCGGAGCATCTGAGGGTACGGTTCGAATTGAACCAGCTTCGCTTGGGAGCGAAGGACTGGTGGAAGTTTGTGACGGCGAGCTTCACTCTTGCAGAGATTTCAGCGGTGACCTGGGAGAGGTTCACCACCATGTTCAGAGACGAGTATGTTCCCCCGGTGGAGAGGGAACGGTTGGTACAGGAGTTCTTGACTCTCAATCAGGGTACTGATTCAGTTACTGTGGTTACGAGGAAGTTTCATGAGAGGGCGGTGTTCTGCCCTGAGCAGGTGTCTACTGAGCAGGCACGTATGAGCCGGTATTTGGGCGTTTTGAGGAGGGATATACGGGAGTTCGTGTCGAACTCGACTTACCGGACATTTGCTGAGCTTCAGGCAAATGCCCGAAAGAGGGAGATTGAGTTGGAGACTCAGGCCAGGGAGGAGGCCGAGTCTCAGAGGATAGATCGGCGGCCGGCACAGTCTCAGCCGGCAGCCAAGCGGGCCAAGTCCGCTGATACGAGATCTGGAGGCCAGAAGGGCCGCACTTGTGGAAAGTGCGGCAAGGGGCATGATGGGGTCTGTCGATCGGGTGCTTGCTACAAATGTGGCAAGGAGGGGCATATCGCCAAGGATTGCCCCAAGGGATTTATGGTTTGCTTTCATTGCAACCAGACTGGCCATCGGAAGGCCGAGTGCCCGCAGTTACATCAGGGATCAGCACAGGGATCTACCCCTGCTGCTAGGGTTACCGAGGTTCGGCCAGTGAAGGCCGAGGCACCGAAGGCTCGTGGGAGAGCTTTCCAGTTGATAGCGGAGGAGGTC